CCCGAAACCGTGAACTGTTGGCCCCCTGCGACTGCCCGAGGACTGAGCACCGGCAGCGGCATGTTCGAAGATTCCCTGGATGAGTTGAAAACTGGGAAGGCCCGTTGGGTACTGACGGATCTGATTGGCCGAATCCATAGCCTTCTACAACCTATACTCACAAAATCTCACAAATGATTTTAAACACACCCGTTCTATGACAGCCTATTTGCACTCAATCGGCTTCAGGCGCACTCTACGCCATTGCCAAGTGTGGATCGTTTGAGCGATGAGGAAGCTCTTCCCCAGTCTCGGCCTCCGAAGCGTGTCCTTTGGGGTCGTCGACGGCCTGGCAAGAAACGGGTTTCGTGTGAGAAGAAGAATACAGCAAACCCACAACTGCTGCGACACTTGATCATGTCACGCTGTGGCTGCACCTTGTCGTGTTTCCATCCCTTTCGGGACGGTGCTTTGTGGCGAGTGTGGTTTAGTCTACGAAAGCTTTTCGACAAGATGACCAAGCGAGAAAAGGATCAACATGCCTGGTTCTTAGATCTCGTTCAAGCCCACCTGCCACCCACCGTTTGTTAAACATGAAATTACGCAGCTGAGAAATCATTTCAATTGTTTTTCTAGAGCGCCTTCAGCGTGAACTTGTGTTCACGCTGCAGGTCTATGACATCATGAAGTCACAGCAGGACCCTTCGTGCCCTGGCATTCGACATCTTTCTTATGAGGGCCACCCTGTGTGTAACAGTGCATTTCGGAAGCTCATGGCCATTGGCAAGGGTCGGTTTGCTCGCATGAGGGCAGCCACTCGTAAGGGTGAACCCTTTTGCCCGTACGATGCGCGCTACATCCCCAGAGGCAAGCAAGCGCCTTCAGATAAACGAGTGGCAGTTCACCAATTCCTCACCAAGTTGTACACAGAGGTAGCCGAGGTCATTCCTGATGGCCTTAACAGCAACAAACGCCCAAGACAGGGCAGCAACCGCTTTGATCGTCAGATGGATCGTTCGCAGATAAAACATCTTCCTCCGGGATCAATACACGAGTACTACCTGCAGTGCAAAGCTTCTTTGCCACATCTCAGCGTGAGCAAAAAACTATTCACTGCAGTAGCCTGTCTTAATAACATAACTTTTCTTAGTTCCCAGTGCGTAATGCGTGAATGTGTAAGCCCGACACCAATGCTTTTGGGATGTGTTCAGGTTTGGCAGGATGACTTTGATGGGAAACTACGCATACGCTTTGCCCAACACCACAGTAAGTGCTCGCAATGTATCAGACACAGACTCATCCTGCGTCGGTTGGGACACTGTCCTGCTGCGAGGCGTGTTCAGGAAGACCTGCTTCAGCGCCATTTATCCCGTCAACACCGCGATCGACAAACATATTGGGATATACGTGCGCAATCCAGGTTACAGCGAAATCACCCATGCGTGTTTTGCATCAGCGGGATCATCGACTCCATGGATGCCCAGAAACACTCGTGGCCACGTAGCAAGACTATGAATAGCAAAGACTTCGCTTCCTTCAACCGACCACGACTCACATCCACCACCCTGATACTTCATGGGCACAGCGTATCCATCAACCTTTCACCGCATCACTGCACGGCCAACAGCAGTCGATCCTGCGAACTGGTTGCCAATGGGCTCACAATGCTGGGGCGCTCCGTGGATCTCCGGTCCTGCGTGCTCAGTCTGCAAGCAGACAACTGCACGAAAGAAGCCAAAAATAATACCCTTTTTAGGGCCATGGCCCTTTGGGTATCACAATCCAAAATCAAAGCTGGAGAACTTGGTTTCCTCTCAAGTGGCCACAGCCACGAGGACATCGATGCCATGTTCTCCTTACTTCGTTCTTGGCTGGCTTCCCATCAGGAGTTGTGGACCCCTGAACAGTTTCGAGATTGCCTCCAAGAGTGGTTGTCCAACAAGGAGCGGCGTCCTTTAGAACAGCGGCATCGCCAGGTCAATTATGTCACCCAGTATCGCGACTGGACTCTTGTACATCTCAGGGGGGTTGCGGTAATTAGTGCAAATCTCTTGAACGCCGTAAATTCGATGCAGCTGAGGAAACTGTTTCTCTCCGAGAATTTTGCTCACTGTCATTTGACTGGCTGTGGTGGCCCTGGGGCGCCACATCTCTTCCGATTCGACCGCGTCTCAGATTTATGTACCTTGTGCTATATAGCTTCTGGGGTCCGTTTCACTTCATTATAATTGGGCTTCTTCCATTCAACATCCTTGAAAAGTCATCGAGTGACTTAGAAACAATTATCTTAGATGCAGTTTTCTTTGCCAAATGTAGCTAGTGTTATGGACTTGGCCGCGTTCACCACCCAAGATTGCGGCAAGCTGGCCAGCGTACCCAAAGCTGCCAGGCATCCCTCGGAACACCGTCAACGATGAGTTTTGGCGGAAGACTGGGTACAATGCGCATCCCTCGGATGTGATCTTGAGGACTGTCAAAAAGCAGTGCGCTAATGATGATCATTGTTTTGCGTACGCGGTCAATCGAAGGACCAAAAGGTTTATGAGCGATGTGCATTGGCAAGGGACACCCATGTTGTTCCTGCCTTTTGATGTGGCGAACCGATGTGTTGGGTCTCCACCAGGCTCCCTTTTGTGATTGTCTAGAGTAAAATTGCTTTCAAAACATCAAAACAGTGATTCTGCACCCAACTCCTGCAACAAGCCGGTTTCCTGTCAGTCTTCATCGAGCCCAAGACCGTCAGCCACGATGAAGCTAGCAGCTTCAGGAAGTATGCCGCGCTGATGAGTTTCGGCCTGAGCAATTGTCAAGCGACCGCTTGTGTTGGAGAAGTTTTGTTGGAGAAGGTTCAGCGCGATGGAGTCATGTTTCTTTTCTGAATACCCTTTTCTTTGCGAGGAACATACCCTTTTGATATGCATCCCGCTGCCCAAGCATTGGAAGACATTGCAAACAATGTAATGTCTCATGAGCCGCTGCTGGATGTCAGCTGGTGTGATTCCTAGCTGTCTTACCCAGTTTTAGTGACCCTTTAATATCCTTTAATCATCTTTAATCATACATTGTGCTGCTTGTCAATTCAACTAGCGACTTGAACGACTCCACGGCTTGCTGAGGGCTCTTCCAAATCGAGGGCCAGCTGTTGGTCCTGCTGTGCGCGCGCCCGAAAGGTATCGAGGCCAAGACTTTGAAGCGGTCTCAAACTCAGAATCAGAACACGTGTTGTGTAACTTCAAATCATGTTTGTGCTGTCCCAACCACAAGCAACCTCTATCTCACTAGAATCGCAAGCACCTACAAATCTTCATGTCACCAACCAAAGCATGGCTCGGCTAGGTGCCCAATGCTTTGCGCCTCGTCCGAAACCGTCCAAACCAAGCTGAAGCGGCTCGCTATCTCCGCTCAAAGCGGAACAGCGCCCTGTATTCTGCGGCCACGCGACTGTGGAAAGCAGGGTTACCTATGTCAGAGGCAATTACTATTGTCTCAGATGCCTTGTCTCACTGCTAGCTTTGGGTCGACATTGCCAAGGTTACCATCATTTTGTGAAGAGCTGCACTGACACACGGTGTATTTTGTGAAGAGAAAGTCATGCCGGCAATGAATTTGTGAATGCGTTATCAAACAAGTACCAACAAGAAAAACATAACTTCCTACAGCCAACACTGGCCAACTGGGTCGAAGTGGTATGTATTCTGGAGAGAGTTCTTTGCAAGGAATGATTTTGTGCGGGGCCATTTCATCACACATTTGTTGTTTCAGGGACCAAGGTGGTTTGTGAATAAAGTTGACGTATTTCTTCACAAAATGGATGGATTCGCGTGGGTTTTGGCTATGTCCAACTCACTCGGGTGTGGTGCAACCTTGGATGAAGGTTGAACCGATGATTTTTGTGAATAAAGTTGTCGTCTTTCTTCGCGAACTGGAGTGTTCCCATACCATTGCTGTTTGTGAAAAAATTGTCCAACACAAAAAACGATAGGAAACCCTTTCTGTTCTAGAAAACCATCTGTTCTAGGCATCAACTCCGAGTGGAGGGTTGTCTCCACAGCCATGATGCTGCCAGCAAGCATGGCTGTGCATCGCAGAAGTTGGGGTATACAAGTGGTGCTCTTCACAAAACAGTGCTTTTTCACTTTCGTGTCTTCACAAACCAAGTCAATGTTTGTTGCTGGCCTTCCACCCATGCCAGGACGAGCATGGCTCCGAAGAAGAGACCTTCAGATGGCTCCCAATCGGCAAAGCGGCAGAAGAAGACTACGGGCGATTTGCCGGGGGTTCCGGCTGATGCACTGGCGCTACCACACTTGAAGATCTTCGAGCAGTGGGCGCCGCTTGTAGTCAAGAAGCAAACACCCAGAAACAATAAACACTTCGAGTTTCAAAAACAACAGTGCACTTCGTGTTTCAAACACTAGATTATTATTGACAGTGAACCTAGGAAGGTGAACATCTTCGATGCCCAAAAGACACTAGATGTCGTGCTCAGTGAGTTCTTGTCCAGTGAGGCAGGGGCTGCTCTGAATGCGAGAAACAACCGCCGTTCATACGACAAACAAATGCTTTTGGCAGGCCAGCTCATGTGCCTTTTACAAGTTCATGGATGTGAACTTTCCGCCTGACCCAAAGGTGTGTGGCTCTCAAGCTTCCATATCATGTGTGCTTACTACCGTCACCGTCTACTAATGATTTTTCTTTGAGGCAGTATGCCACTTTGGACAACCTCCAGCGCATTGGAGGTTCTGTGCTGCGACCCTGGCAGCTTCCTCGCCGAGCAGACTATGGTTTGCGAGGAACCGCCGACAGCGAGACTTAACTGATTAGTTGATCTTTGTACGATTTTGTACGCTTTAAAGTGGCGATGTGGAATGCTTCCGACTCAAAAAACAGTGTAAAACCAGGAGGTCCAACATGCCCTTTGTCAGCTCATCCTGGTCAATGGCTTTTTGACATGCGCAGACCTTCCGGGCGTAGAGAAAATCTGCGTCACGCTCGCCCAGAGCTGTTGGCTCCAACTTCCAATGGCTGGCATCAGCAAAGAAGCCTGCAATATTGATGCGCCTGACCTCCTTTCACCGGGCTTAGCATTTATGGTGAAGGGATGGAATCGTTGCATATCATTCCTTGGTGTTTGTCTGGCAGCCTTCCAAGATGATTCCCTGCTCCAGGCCAGGACAGATGTCCTGAATGTGGTTTATTGTTGCTGAATATAATTTGCTTTGTCCCATAGTTTTACATGGCCAGGCCATTCCAAACAACGTCAAGCAGTACCTTGCCGGCACTTGTGGGCATCCGTGTTCCCCTGCAAAATCCTCAGTGTTCCACTGCAAAATCGTTGTGACTATTCGCGTGTTTGTTGGTTAGAGCCTCCTGGACTTGCAGGACCTTTGGGGCCATCTACGCAACGGTGACCACAGCGGACCTCACACAGATCATCAACACCAACCGAGGTTTGGGACAAGCGCATACATGTTTGAGCTGTCGCTTGTGATCTTGCGGGTGTTCATCACAAGGTGTGAGCCTCACGTCATCGATCCGGCGCAGACCAAACGCCTTCAACTTGGTACACCAGCTTGAAATGATGGTTCGTGGAGGACTCTCACCTGAGCACACAGTTCAGAGCTTGGAGGCCCTTGTGGTTGTTGCTAGGGACATTTGCAATGTGATTTCATCTCATGACAAAGCTATCCAGCAAGGTTCATGGACTTTATGTTATTGTCATTTTGCAAGGCCAACGAAGCCATCGCAAGCCACATTGCGGCATACTCATTGGGGAAACAAGAAAGCACTGCTGCGATCAATTTGCTTCAGAAAATACCGGGGGAGATCAAGGAATCTTTAACGTTGCTAGTGAGGCAGGGATAGTTTGCAAGCTTGCCAAAAAACAACTGTCACATTACAACATGTACAAGGTGTAGTCTTGTATCGCGCTATCGGATTTGTGCAGGAAGTATGGTCAGCCTCGGTTCTTGAACCATGACGCCATCAGTGCAAACGTCTTCAATGTTGGATATTGCTCTGCGTCGGGCATTCTCTTGCCTTGGAAATCCGAGCTAACCAACTCAGTGGGGTTACTGCGTCTCCTTGTCACCCGGCTCGAAGCGGACTGGGTTGCCCTGCCGGCCAAGCAGAGGCGGCCATGGAACCAGAAGGAAGTGGAGCCTCCGCCTGTGAAAATCAGTTTGGATGAACGCGGATTTTGCGTGATTTGCTCTGAAGTGTCTGAAGTTACTCAGTGTTTCTACGCGTTAATCTTTTTGCCTTGGATTATCTCAGGAAATGATGCATCGTTGCTGTGGCGCCTTTTTGGCATGCTTGGATCAATTCACATCGTCAGTACCGACAACCTTTGCGGATGCCTGCCTCACTGAGATCCACAAAACGTTACTTACTATGTAAAATAGATGGAACAACTTGGCCTCATGTTGGTGATGAATCTCACATCGGACTGGGTTGCCCGGCCGGTCAACCTGGAGCCTCAGGTTTGAATTGCGGCACGGGGATGCCGATTTGCAGGCATTGCTGGAACATTCAGTTCCTCCTGCATCACTTTCAAAAGTGAGCATCTTTGCCAACCATATCCAGCGCTACCACAACCAGGCACCACCTAGGCACCCAAACCCCTAGACTGCGCGCTGCTTGAGTTCCCCGTCCCCGACAGGTCGAAGAGAGTGCCCGCAGCAAAGCCGCCGAGCAGCCTGGCGCAACTCGAGCTGTCTTCGTGTCATGAACGGCCCGTAAGATACTCAGGCTTTCCCAGCAATTGCTCCAAACCACGTGGCAGCAGTGTCAGCTACAAATCGATGGTGACCTCTTGAAGCTCAAAGATTGGGCAGGTGCATTCAACTTGTACGCGCAGCAGCAGGCTTCCATCTTTAATCAACCAAATGTACACGGCAGTTCGCGCTATAAACAAGGTGCGACTTACTTGGAACATCTTCATCTTGGAATACGATTCGATGGGAAGTTTCAGGGATAAAAAACAGTCTTGATGAAACTGTGTGGGTGGAGTGTGTTTCATTGCCAATCTTGGCAGGCAGCCCTGGACTACAAGCACATCAACGACCGGTACATGAAGGGCAAGGAATGGCTTGCGGGATTCACCAAGGAGAAGCATACTATGACATCTCACTCCTCAATTGTGCTTTCCCATAGCTTGATTGTCAACATGCAACAGGATATGGGACCCGACGGGTTCCTTGTCAGTCTCAAATGTAAACACAAATCGTTGGATAACAAAGCACCCGCCCACAAGAGTCCTTTGGTAGCTTTGAGCCCATAGGCTGACTATCCTGATTGTGGACGCCACCTTGTGGCCTTCCCGCGCCCTGGCTGGTCATTGAGGAATATTGAGGACATAGGGTTAGGAAAAACACAAACAATGATGGAAATTATCATTAGACCCTCAAAGAGAGCTTAGTTTTGTTTCAAAGTAAGTATGGGGCCCAGGCCAGCTTTCCATTGACGAGAGCATCAACATTGCCCAGACAGTCAGCTCCGGCAATGCGCGGACGATGGCCTTCTTCTGCCTTCCGCAGACGCACACCTCCACAAAGAGAGATGTTGTCTTGAAGAACCGGCGTTTGTTGGAGGACAAAGTGGGAGCGTATCTTGAATGCGTTCCCTTCCTTTCACATTCAGCAGGTTCTCTACACAAAGCCATGTAAATGTTCCTAGATGTTCCTAGTGATGTAAGGTACATGGATGTCTTCGAGATCAGCTTGAATTTCAGTGATTCTGTCCATGGAGGGGACCGGCGAAAGAAGTCGCAACAATGTACCTTGGATGTATGTTCAATTTTTAGCCTGCTACGCGTCATGCCCAAAACAACATTTATCGGTTTTGAGCGGTTTTGCAGCAACACCCCTTGCATGTCAGGCCTTGCAGCGATGTGTGGATCGACTTCGGGCGCCTTCTCTCGCAGCAAGGCCCTCCTCGGGTCAATCACGGAGATCGAGAGGAGCAGAGTGGGTGAGCTGCAAAACCCAGATCCAGAACATTCGCTTGCGCCTCATTGGCGCGATTCTAGCCTGAACTTAAGGATCAGAAAGAGTGTTCCGAAGGTTCATGACTACATGGATCATGCCATATCATGCCCTTCAAATACAGTGCCCAAAATTGAAAACCTTCAAGCAAATCCTAGGTGCAGCAACGTGGAGTGAAAGCCACGGTGTCCATCATCAAGCAACTCATTGATGGTGTCGCTAACGATACACAAAAGCTGTTGGTGGTCGATTTGCTGCCCTCCAGGCACATCCAGTGAACCAAATCGCATTTAGCGTGTGTTGCCATGTCAGCCCACGGTGTCCCAAGCAACCCAAATTAAACAAAGTCATTGAAACATTGCTTATTAAGCTTATGGCAGGTTTGCTGAGTGGTCGCTGGCATGCTGGGAGATGCAGCAGGCCTACTTGTTGGAAGAGGACACTGTGGATGTCAGGTTTATGGGGGTCTACCACGATGACAATGCGAAGGAGCTCACCGCCTCTGTGGATCTTTTGGCTGGCAAAGCTTTGGCTGGCTTCTGGGACAGGTGCGAGAAAGCTGGTCCCAAAAGTCGATCCGCAAGCGGCTTTCACCAGGAGCTTCCAAGCTTGGAATGCTTGTCAGTGGTGGATGGGGAGATCAAGCTCTTTGAATGAATTAGTGCCACATCAGGATCATAGTATCGGTATACTTGAAATCTATTGTGTGATATGCATGTGTGGATGCAGTTGTGTGGACGCCACTATGTTTGTGTTTCCGTTTTATGCGCATGTCTGTATGTAGGTCGGTAGGCAAGTGTGCAGGTATGTCTTATGGAAGCGTCTATGGAACTATGTTACGCATGTGCTGGCGGTTTGATTCGAGGATTCGTTGTGAATGAGATTGCATGAATCTAAGGATCCCTGATTTGATACAACAGAAGTATGCTGGGCAAGCAGGATTGAAGGAGGCCATGTCCAAGCTCGATGACCATGCAGATTTGTCCACGGCCTTGAGATCGCATCATTTGGGAACTGCCAGTCCTGCAGCTTCTACCTCTGCTTCAGCCCCAGAGAACCAGACTCGGACCTTGGCTTCGCCAGAGTGGGGCACCAATCCGCCCATCAACATCCGCAGGAAACTGGCCTTGACTCCCTTGCCTACCAGTGGCTTTGAGAGTTCTACAGAGTCACTGAGATTTGCTCAGTTCACAGTTCTACATTCATTTTGAACCCCTTTGTTCTTTTCTGTCTCCTTTGTGTCGTTTTCAAGAATGATCCCACGATTTCAAGTTCAAATAAAAACGAAAACAAGAAACATGTCAATCTCAGTGGACTGGGTTTGCTCACACATTCAGGACCATTGCCTCGGCTGACCTCGCACGGGTGCAAGGTGTCAAGATTTGCGTTGGCAAGGACAATTCGGTGTGGCTGCGCAATGTGGGCAGCCGTGAAGTGGACATCCCTGCCGGGGAACTGTTCGGATTTAACACAGGAAGCTTTTCAGAGGTTCCCTCAGGACTGTAGTGGCCAAAAGTCATTCCACATCGACTGTAAAGCTAGCGCTAACCGTGCATGTAAAAGCGTCAAGGAGAAGGAGACTGTGTTGATGGCCATTTACCCTGGATCATCAAGGATGACCGAACGCTGCTAGCTTTGGACAAGCACCTGCGCACCGTGGCAGACATCTTTTGTGACGTGGCCAAGCATCGAGGTGTCACTGAAGTAAGGGTGGTGGACCACAGCTTGAGACCACAGGCGTGATGCAATTGCAGTGAAACTAAAGTTACTAAAGTGACAAATGCTGTCAACATATGTCAACGCTAAATGCAACAAACATGGGTTGGTTCCAACTTTTGCGAAGGTCTCGGAGGAAGGAAACAACCGCATGTTGCAGTACCGCTACACCGTGTCTTGCAACCCCATGGTCAATGCCTTCGTCGCGAAGGACTTGGGAAATGACACAGAGAGGATCAACATGCGGGCAGCGCAATTGGGGGCTGTCTATCGCTCCAAGTTCTCACAGCTTCCGCGAGGAAGCAACGCGTGTATCGTTTGGGAGGTGCAACGGTTACAAAAAATCATCATCTAGATAATGTATATTACTATTTGACCATTAGGGTTTTTGTGATGACCTCATGCTGTCCAACAACTGAGTGCCCCTTGCCGAATCTCGCTTTGCCATTGTTCTGCCTCAGGCAAAGGTGGATGAAAGCGTTCCAGCAGTCTTGACACCGATCAAACCGAAATACTACTTGCTTGGAACTGTCTCTTTGAAGGCTGGCTTTGCAGTCTCACTCAAGTAGGAAGGGGCATCCTTTCACCAGAAGTGTGCTAGCTCTTGGGTGGATGGCGGACTTAAATCCTTAGCCTATCCTATAGCTATTTTGATGCACACCTTGTCTGGTGGCTTTTGCTGGGGCTGGGATGAACCCGTGCCTGATCTTGGACCAGGGAAAGATCAACTCGCGAGCAACTCGGAAAATCGGCGAAGATCAACTAGGGGTCCGTGCTTGGCTGTCTGTCTTCCTGCGCGGAGGGTGATTCGCAGGCACACAGCATACGACATGACCACGCATCGGTTTTTGTTTGTTTCTGGAGTTCGCTTGCTCAAAACGAACTCCAACAATACCTAGTGAATGGCAGGGTATTTGGCTCTTTGCGCCATGGTTCTGCAACCTGTGGACAAGCTCTCGGATGAGGAAACTCCTGAGAAGCCTCAAGAACCGAAAGTAAAAGAACCGAAACCAAAATCAAAAGTGCTTCCGAAGAAGAAACCATCACCGAAGCCGCCGAAGCCAGTCACAGAATCCTCTGGCTCCCAACCTTCAAAGCTTTTGAAGCGACCGGCTGTGGCTGAGGGCAAGGGGCCTCCAATGAAAAAGCCCGCGGCTTCCATGCCATCGCCCCCAGAGCAGAATCGTCCTCTCAAAGTCAGCAAAGGTTTGTACAAGAATGGCAGCTATGGCTTCAAGGTCAACGACAAGCAAGTAATGTTGGTGATTTGGTGGCACTATAGTTGTGATTACTGTACGTGTGCTGGCAACTCTTGGTCACTGCGCAAACCGCCAAGCCGTCAGCCCCAAACAACCTCCCCCAAAACTAAACCCACAAGATGATTTAGTCCTTCATATTCTTGCGCCATCCTAAGTTGAAACCGGTCGATGGCATTTCTGAAGAAGTGTTGGAAGAGATCGCTGCTCCTTGCCCGCCACACCATGCAAAAGCGCCAGTGAAACGCTAAAAGTGCTGTCTGATCTTGATTGAATCTAACTTTTAGTTATAGTTGACTAAGCGTGACTAAGTCTTGATGTGTTTTGACTGAGACTACTGTGCGGCAAGAATTGGTTCGTACAAATGGAGATGTTGAAGCAGCATGCAGCCTGAGGGTCCTTTGCTTGCATATATGTTTGCATCAAAGCCATGTCCAACAATGCCAAATGAATGGTATCACATGCATGCTTCAAGTTGTTGTGACATCTCTTGAGCATGGCTCGCTGTAGGACACGATGATTCGCGCCGAGACCGAGAAGATGGTGGAGCCTGAGAAAGAGCATGAACCGTCAGAAGCTGCGGAAGACTTGGAGGGTGAGGAGATCGAAGAAGGAGAAGAGGAGCCTGTGGATGATGACAACAACATCGACTAGGCCCCCTATCCTTTTGTTTTTGTCATGCTGTAGTCCAATGCCTCTCATGCCTCTAAACTGCAAATCTCCAAAGTTCGCAGGCAGCCAGTGAGAGCTCTGAGGCTCTGAGGATGGCTTAACTTCAAAGAAAGGGTGTACATGGGTGTACAATACGTCGCACTTTTTCGGAAAGTAAAATACAACAAACACCATTTCTGTTAATATGGAACCACCCTTTCTGGTCTGTCAGCGCACTGATCTGTGGTTCCGGACATGGTTCATTCTCCTGCGAGGCAAACGGCGTTTTGTGCATTGCTAGATTCGCAGCTGCCACAAACAAATCCCTTTACAGTTTGTTATCAAGTTTGAGAATGCAGCTACTTTTGTTCAGAACAAACATAGATATAGCTTCGTCAATCTTGAACCCGGATCCCACGACATGGATCTCAGCAAGGAAGAGGTCGAACACATCATGGGTCAGGCCCTCAAGTAACCGGTTTTACAATCTCATGAAACTTGTTTCTAGCACGAGGTGTGGATTGGCCCGGCATGACACTTCCTGTGAGCAAGTACGAGCTTAAGATTGGAAGTGATGCGTTTACACCGGTCTCTGATATCGAAGACGAGTCTCTTTGGGAAGTTTTGCGTTGGCTTTACAGTGCCAGGGTGTTGAAACTTGGAGACCGTAGCGTCAATTTTCAAGAGGAGTTGCGCTACAAAGTGCAGCACGATGAAGTTAGCGTGAATGAAGGCAAATGGAATGCCACAATCCGTGTTTTTGATATTCGTGATCAAGAGGATAAAACTCTTGAATTCCGTTTGGTGAACAAGTGATCTGTTAGCCTAGCTCGGAAAACAACAACTGCCTGCCGACCGCCCAACTAGCTTGAGTGGCTAATTTCTCGTCACTGCAACTTTTTTGCTTGATTCTCCCAATATTCCTTGCTGCGACATGTCCCCACCAGGCCTGAAGTGAAAAAGGAAGTGGAGAGTTTGACCTCGAAGCAGGTTGGGGTCCATGTTTCTATGGTTTACTTCTCCTCATGCTTCATGATGGATCACTTCATGAAAACCTGGTCCAAAAGTCTCTTTGCAATCTTTCTGGAAGGTCTTTCACGTAAAGCTGGATTGGAGAGCTCTAGAGGCCCAGGCACGAAGCGATTTGCGTGCCATTTGCCTGCCAGATCATCGGTGGAGTTTTTAATTTTTGAACTAAAAACACCTGACCTAGGACACACAATTTTTTGTGGGGTGAAGTCAGCGGTACTTCAACTTCCAAATTGTTCGTCCGGCAGCCTCTGCAGGCCACCAGCCATGCGCCATCACCGTGGACCAACTGAAGTATGCTGAACTGTCACCTCATGATTTCTCATGCGGCATGCGTTTAGAATTGGAGTGGAGTGTTGCATGTTTTGTTTACGAAGAACTTGAATGAGACATATGCCAGGTCTGGAATGAAACAGTTTCACTGAGACCCAGGAAGGCTTCTAACTTACCCTACAGGATACATACAACAAAAATTGTATGTTTGACTTTCTGGCTTTCCTGGACATGAGCTAGATGGACTCATGAACGAACTCTCTGTGAAAAGGCTGCCAAGCGAGCGATTGTTCCAGAACCAGCCGGCCTTCAAAAGAAATAAAACATGGTGAGGGAAACTAGACTTCTACCCACAGGGCCTGCGCACACAAACGGACACCATTCAATTATTACTTCTTTGGTAGTCACAGTCAAAGCCTACTTTGTTAGCAGTAGGCAGTAGCACAGTCACAGCCAAAGCCTCATTGGTTAGCAGTCACAGCCAAGCTCTCTTTGGTTAGCAGTCATAGTCAAAGCCAAAGCCTCTTTTGTTGGCAGTCACAGTCAAAGCCTCTTTGTTGGCAGTCGAAGCCAAAGCCCTGGATGCAAAGCAAAGCCCTGAACCAGAGGAACATGAAATATTAATGAAACCAACTTCCAGGCTGTCTGCCAGGCGCTTCTGAGTGAATGTTTGAATTGTGTTTTGGTGTAACAAGTGCATTGATGAGCAATCTGAATTTCAACTTCTTCATCAATGGATCCTAGGGCTCAGAGGGCAATGATGAATGATGATTCTAGAGGCCAACATTGATGAAAGTTTCAGAAACCTATATCACCATCAATGTCATGCTTCCAAAACATATGTTTTCAATGGACTCTGGGGCTCCAAGTGCACTGATGAAAGATACAAATTTTGAAGCGTTCGACAATGTAGTTTTTTGGATTTCGTTTGGCTACTTGTCAGCCTGAAGTGTTCATCAACATTTCATCTCACCGCACCTTACTTTGAAACATTCATCTTACTATTGCAATGACATCCCCAAAGGCTTCCGATGCCTGGACTTCCAATGCCGGGACTTCCACGCCACCCAATGGTTTGCCATCCAGTGCCAACCTTCAGAGGGACCAAAGAGACCCCTTCGATTCATGTGGCAAACCTCTGCAAAAGGAAGTGGCAAGTCTTTCCCAGACTGGCTCAGTTCTTGGAGGTTGTGCAAACAACTCTGTTTGAATGTCAAGTCAAACAGCCTGGAAGGTGCTTTTGCTGCATTTGGTAGGCTGTTGTCATTATTGCTGTTTGTTACACATACGTTAAAAAGATTAAGGTGAGTTTGAAGATTGAGGTGTGTTTGAACGAAATCAACGCACGGGTGAGTGGCGCTGGGTTGATTCTCACTGGGGCCTGCTGCTGCGCCACCTGAACTTAGAAAAGGCAAAGGGGGAAATTGTGAACCACCTGGCGAAGATTGCGATGGTCCATCTGCGGAACCAACTTCCCCAGCTCAATTGGACGAAATTCAATTGGAAGATCATTGGGGTGAGAAGGATGGACTTCCCATTGGCTGGGAGATCAAAAGGAAGAGAGTGAGGAGTCAGGATCTGACAAGAGCCGTGATGGCTGAGACAAGAACGAAGAACGAGAAAAGAAGCATATCAAAAGATGATGCTTAGATGTGGATGGGCCGGCCTTGTACACTAGATCAGCCAACTCGCTGCCTTGACATTATGTATGGCTGCAACTGGCGCAATGCCGCTCTGAACGCACTTGTGGTCAAAAAATGCGTAGGCCCAAGGTTGAACAGCTGTGACTTTGTCAATGAACTTTCCCTTTGTGATCAA